GGTCCTTACCAAATACTAGAGCGAAATGACAAAACGTTTAGAATACTGATCGAAAACAAAGAACAAACAGTCAGCATAGATCGTCTTAAAGCTGCTTTCATATGTCCCGATACAGACATTGACATCCACAACAAATCAATGGTATACCACACTCCAAACAACGTTAATGGCGACCAGTCTGTGCGACCAAATACAACAGCTAATCTGATAAAATCAGGACGCAACGTTCGCTTTCCAACCAAATTCAGTGACTCCATCACTTATGGGGGAGTACTGTGGCAGCACCAAAAAATATAAAGAAAGAACTGTCAACAATGCAGAAGGGAGACAACAATATCCGCAGCTCCCGCTAGTAGTAGTTTTGGGAAAAATATAAAACAACACGTGAATAAATGTATAAACAAAATCTTAACTTTAATAATAGCTTGTAATAAATAATTATAAAAAATAAATAAAGTTATTCATTTCCACTAAGGAGTGTTAGGATCGAAATAAAAAGTAAACATAGTAAACCACTACATATACATTGTCTAATATTGCATTATGTTACAGAAGCTGCAGATACTGAAGTCCTAAGTGAAGAAAATTATAGAAATGACATAAAAAACGGTTTCAAGGTTGCAAAAAACAGATATAGAGTGGCTTGCATCAAAAAAAAATCAACAAAAGAGATTAACTAGATATAGTTATGTGGGTTTTCACCACACACTTTATTTTAAATAAATATAACAAATGTTTACAAAATGATAAAAACGTTGTGTTACTAAAACGTGCAAAATAGGAAGAAGAAGGAAGCCAGTCGCCAGTTACTGAAGTTAGCTGCTCATTGAAAAATGTTCCTTTTGCCCACAGATGGTGTGAGTGCGTGTACATTCACACACAGAGGGCGCTGCAGTATGTGTGGCGAGTTCGCCACAGTACTCCCCCCTTAATAGCTGGACCGGTGGTCTGGTTTGTTGACTGTTGATTGTAACCTGCTACTCTAAAGGATCTTTCACATTAAAGGTTACTTGCTTCTTCGTTTGCGTGAGTTTTCCTTTGTTTACAGGTCTGCAATCTACGTCGACTTCTGCAAACTTTGGTTCGATTACTGCTGGCTCGAAAAAGGCCGGTTTCAATCTGTTTATTGATATGTTAACCTGCTTACCGCGTACGTCAACCGTAAAAAGTCTATCGTTGATTTTCTTGATTACCTTATGTGGTCCTGTGTATGGGAGCTCTAAAGGTTTCCTTACATGATCTGCCCTTACGAATACATGCGACGCATCGCCCAATGCTTGGTGAACGAATACAGCTTTGCTAGAATGATTGGACGTCGGAATTGGTCGTACTTGCTGGATGTGCTCGCGTAATGTTGCTAGGGATTTTTGTTCGTTCGGAAGCGTGTTATTTTCCACAAAAAATTCTCCCGGTAGACGTAATGTCGTTCCATACAACATTTCAGCTGCTGAAGTGTTGATATCTTCTTTATAGGATGATCGAAGTCCGAGTAAAACTGATGGTAACAATTGTATCCAAGCGTGCTTAGGTCGCGACATAAGAGCTGTTTTTAAAGTGCGATGAAATCGCTCAATTAACCCGTTAGATTCTGGGTGATACGGAGATGTACGTATTCTTTGCGTGCCTAAACGATTTGCTAGCGCCTTGAATAAAGCTGATTCGAACTGGGTTCCTTGATCAGTTGTTATGATTTTCGGAGAACCAAATCGCGATATCCAGTGTGCGTAAAAATTTTCTGCGACTGTATCGGCGGTGATATCTTTCAACGGAACGACTTCTGGCCATCGTGTAAATCTGTCCATCATGGTTAGTGCATATCTGTAACCGTCACATTCGGGAAGTATTATTAAGTCCAAATGTACATGATCGAATCGCTGATCCAATGGATTGAAAGCTTGTGGCGTAAGTTTATTATGCCTGTTTATTTTTGCTTGTTGACAACTTTGGCACGATCGTACCCAATTCGCGACATCTTTTCGGATTGACGGCCACACGTACTTGCTGCATAGTTGTTTTGTCGTTGACTTAGTACCAGCATGTGCAAATGTCTTCTTTCGAAGTGATGATGGAATATATGGTCTGATGATTCCTGTTGATACATCACAAAAGGTTGACATATCGGGTTGTAACAAAAGTTTTTGTAATTGAAGTGCTGAATCTGACTTTAATAACTGCTTAAGCTCTTCATCTATTTCCTGATGGTTGCTAATCATCTCGAGATCTATAACCGTAGGCATATTAATTGCATCAATTCTGGATAAACTATCAGCCACTATGTTGTCATTACCATCTATGTATGATATGTTTGTTGTTAGTTGTCGTAGTTGACGTGGTGAAACTTTATCTGACTTTTGTTGGAATGCATAAATGAGCGGTTTGTGATCTGTTTGAATTGTAAAATTTCTACCTTCCAGTAAATGTCTAAAATTTTTGATGGCTAAATATATAGCTAGCAACTCTCTGTCGTACGTGCTATAATTCTTCTGCGCTGCCTTGAGCTTCGAAGAGAAAAACGCAACCGGTCGCCAAACATCACCTTCTTGCTGTTCCAGTACTGCACCAACTGCGTTGCTTGATGCATCCGATGTCAATCGAATTGCACTTAATGGAGACAAAAATGTTAATTTAGGTAACGCGGTTACACTTGTTTTACAGTTTTCAAACGCTGCATCTAACGTGGTAGTCCATGTTATAGGCGTGTTGTCGTTCTTTTTTGAATTTTTTAATAGCTCATTTAAAGGTGCTTGTAATTTGGCGGCCTGTGGAATACACTTGCGGTAATAATTTAGGATTCCCAAAAAACGACGAATTTCTTTTACTGTCTTTGGCTTCGTGTATTCATTAATTACTCTCACTCGTTCTACAGGCGGGCTGATACCATCGACTGATACATCATACCCTAAAAAACTTAGTTGTGAAACTCCGAACTCGCACTTAGCGGTGTTTATGACAAGCTTGGCCTTATTTAGTGTTTTTAGTACTGCTTCTACATGTTCCAAATGCTGCTGTTCACTTTCTGAGAATATTAAAATATCGTCAAGGTAGCAGAAGACAAATGGCATTTTCCTGAACAATGAATCCATATACCTTTGAAAGGTTTGCGTAGCGTTTTTAAGACCAAACGGCATGACTACAAATTCAAATAACCCAATGGGTGTACTTACTGCGGTTTTGCATATGTCATCAGCTTGCATCGGTATGTTATAATACGCTCTATGTATATCAATCTTTGAAAAAAATTTGCTAGCATGTAGTTTTTCCGTTACTTGGTCTAGGTATGGTATTGGGTACCTATCTGGTTTGGTTTGCGCATTTAGTTTTCTAAAGTCACCGCAGGCTCTCCAAGCACCTGCTTTCTTTTTTACCAGGTGAATTGGACTCGACCACGGACTGTTTGACGGACGAATAATTCCTTGCTCCAACAGCGTTGAAAATTCTTCGCGAATTGCCTTTAATTTTTCCGTTGAATAACGGCGTGACCTTTCATGCACTGGCTGACCATCAGTGACTATTTGATGACAGACTACAGATGCGTCAGGGAGGCTATAGTTATTTGCACTGCACAAATCAATGTATTTGTTGACGATTGTAAAGAATTTTGAATTTGGATCCAATGTGTATACCGAATGTATCGATGTGGTTTCAACTGCACCAGATGACGACAATGTAGTAAGCGGGTCTAATAACCGTCTTGATTTTATGTCTGGAATTAGACCATATTTCGCCAGAAAATCTGCGCCCAAGATTGGACATTTGACGTCTGCTATAATGAAGTTCCAATTGAAACTGCGTCGTAAACCAAGATTGATGCTAAGTCTCTTAGTACCGTACGTTTTAATAAATGAATTATTTGCTGCGAATAATTTTAGTTCATCTGGCACTAGGTTGCGTTTCACTGTGATTGCTGCTAAAGGAATAATGGATACGGCCGATCCGGTGTCAACTAGAAACTTCATATTTGAGATACGATCAATTACATGTAAACGAGCTTCTTCAGTGCAGTGTTCCAGCGCGTTGTCGTTTACTGCACTTGTGGACGACAACGGTTTTAGTTTTCCTTCTGTTTGATATTAGTTGTTTGGCAGCCGAACTCGCATGGTTTTAAGCATTTTGTTGCAGCTGTTCCAAATTTAATGTGATAATAACAGACTTTTCGATCTTCACGCTGACTTTTAAACTGAGTTCTGCTAGAACTGCGAGCCCTGATTCGCCCCTGTGAGTTTGCTGGTCGTCTGAGCTCTATTGCTATTTCACTTAGTTTACTTACCACTTGTTGCAGAGATATTTCTAACGCTGTCACACGTGCCTCCAATGTTGATTCCTCTGTGTTACTGCGTCGGTTAATTGCAGATGCGGTAGCCATAACATAATGAGGAGTGGGCATATTGTCAGTTATTCTATCTGCCAATTCGGCCATTTGATTAACATCCTTGGAGCTGCACGCAGATAAGATGCAACGAATGTTACTAGGCAATCGCTGCAACCAAAGTGCTGACAAGGCGTCTTCCGACATATTTGACGCTGCCAGATCTCTCATCTCTCGGAGCAACTGCGTTGGACGCTTGTTAGACACGTCTAAATCCGTTAGCAATTTAATCAATTGTTTCTGACGCGACTCCCCAAATCGTGAAATTAATTCATTTTTCAACGTTTCATATTTGCCCGTAGCTGGCGGATTTTTTGCTAACTTGACGAAGCGTTTCGCCGTCTATTATGAAACTATCTATAACTATACCTAAAATTTATTTAAACTTAAATTACCATTATTATAAATTAAATAATATTTACATTTTTTAAACTAATAACACTATAAAACTATCTATAACTATACCTAAAATTTATTTAATTTTAAATTAACATTATTAAACTAATAATATTGTAAAACTATTTATAACTGTGGCGAACTCGCCACACATACTGCAGCGCCCTCTGTGTGTGAATGTACACGCACTCGCACCATCTGTGGGCAAAAGGAACATTTTTCAATGAGCAGCTAACTTCAGTAACTGGCGACTGGCTTCCTTCTTCTTCCTATTTTGCACGTTTTAGTAACACAACGTTTTTATCATTTTGTAAACATTTGTTATATTTATTTAAAATAAAGTGTGTGGTAAAAACCCACATAATTGGTGACCCCGACGCAAATTAAACACATAATTGGAAGCAGCGCAAGTTATTCATTTATTTCATAAAGTCAAAACAAACTTGCACAATGTTGGATGATGCAATGCTGAACAAAGAAGCAGAAATGTCTAATGCCGACAAAGAAACAACAGCAAAGTCAGCAGCGGCAGACACGAATTTCACAACAGTAAAAAACGATATTGATGCAGTAAAGTTAACGAATTTGCCTTCATTTTTGCAAACTGACCCGGAGTTATGGTTTACTTAAGTGGACGGATTACTACACATCAATCGCATGACCTCTGATCTATCCAAATTCTACACGGTAATCACAGCACTAGACGGCGAAACGCTTCGTCAAGTTAGCAAAAAATCCGCCAGCTACGGGCAAATATGAAACGTTGAAAAATGAATTAATTTCACGATTTGGGGAGTCGCGTCAGAAACAATTGATTAAATTGCTAACGGATTTAGACGTGTCTAACAAGCGTCCAACGCAGTTGCTTCGAGAGATGAGAGATCTGGCAGCGTCAAATATGTCGGAAGACGCCTTGTCAGCACTTTGGTTGCAGCGATTGCCTAGTAACATTCGTTGCATCTTATCTGCGTGCAGCTCCAAGGATGTTAATCAAATGGCCGAATTGGCAGATAGAATAACTGACAATATGCCCACTCCTCATTATGTTATGGCTACCGCATCTGCAATTAACCGACGCAGTAACACAGAGGAATCAACATTGGAGGCACGTGTGACAGCGTTAGAAATATCTCTGCAACAAGTGGTAAGTAAACTAAGTGAAATAGCAATAGAGCTCAGACGACCAGCAAACTCACAGGGGCGAAGTAGGGCTCGCAGTTCTAGCAGAACTCAGTTTAAAAGTCAGCGTGAAGATCGAAAAGTCTGTTATTATCACATTAAATTTGGAACAGCTGCAACAAAATGCTTAAAACCATGCGAGTTCGGCTGCCAAACAACTAATATCAAACAGAAGGAAAACTAAAACCGTTGTCGTCCACAAGTGCAGTAAACGACAACGCGCTGGAACACTGCACTGAAGAAGCTCGTTTACATGTAATTGATCGTATCTCAAATATGAAGTTTCTAGTTGACACCGGATCGGCCGTATCTATTATTCCTTTAGCAGCAATCACAGTGAAACGCAACCTAGTGCCAGATGATCTAAAATTATTCGCAGTAAATAATTCATTTATTAAAACGTACGGTACTAAGAGACTTAGCATCAATCTTGGTTTACGACGCAATTTCAATTGGAACTTCATTATAGCAGACGTCAAATGTCCAATCTTGGGCGCAGATTTTCTGGCGAAATATGGTCTAATTCCAGACATAAAATCAAGACGGTTATTAGACCCGCTTACTACATTGTCGTCATCTGGTGCAGTTGAAACCACATCGATACATTCGGTATACACATTGGATCCAAATTCAAAATTCTTTACAATCGTCAACAAATACATTGATTTGTGCAGTGCAAATAACTATAGCCTCCCTGACGCATCTGTAGTCTGTCATCAAATAGTCACTGATGGTCAGCCAGTGCATGAAAGGTCACGCCGTTATTCAACGGAAAAATTAAAGGCAATTCGCGAAGAATTTTCAACGCTGTTGGAGCAAGGAATTATTCGTCCGTCAAACAGTCCGTGGTCGAGTCCAATTCACCTGGTAAAAAAGAAAGCAGGTGCTTGGAGAGCCTGCGGTGACTTTAGAAAACTAAATGCGCAAACCAAACCAGATAGGTACCCAATACCATACCTAGACCAAGTAACGGAAAAACTACATGCTAGCAAATTTTTTTCAAAGATTGATATACATAGAGCGTATTATAACATACCGATGCAAGCTGATGACATATGCAAAACCGCAGTAAGTACACCCATTGGGTTATTTGAATTTGTAGTCATGCCGTTTGGTCTTAAAAACGCTACGCAAACCTTTCAAAGGTATATGGATTCATTGTTCAGGAAAATGCCATTTGTCTTCTGCTACCTTGACGATATTTTAATATTCTCAGAAAGTGAACAGCAGCATTTGGAACATGTAGAAGCAGTACTAAAAACACTAAATAAGGCCAAGCTTGTCATAAACACCGCTAAGTGCGAGTTCGGAGTTTCACAACTAAGTTTTTTAGGGTATGATGTATCAGTCGATGGTATCAGCCCGCCTGTAGAACGAGTGAGAGTAATTAATGAATACACGAAGCCAAAGACAGTAAAAGAAATTCGTCGTTTTTTGGGAATCCTAAATTATTACCGAAAGTGGATTCCACAGGCCGCCAAATTACAAGCACCTTTAAATGAGCTATTAAAAAATTCAAAAAAGAACGACAACACGCCTATAACATGGACTACCACGTTAGATGCAGCGTTTGAAAACTGTAAAACAAGTGTAACCGCGTTACCTAAATTAACATTTTTGTCTCCATTAAGTGCAATTCGATTGACATCGGATGCATCAAGCAACGCAGTTGGTGCAGTACTGGAACAGCAAGAAGGTGATGTTTGGCGACCGGTTGCGTTTTTCTCTTCGAAGCTCAAGGCAGCGCAGAAGAATTACAGCACGTACGACAGAGAGTTGCTAGCTATATATTTAGCCATCAAAAATTTTAGACATTTACTGGAAGGTAGAAATTTTACAATTCAAACAGATCACAAACCGCTCATTTATGCATTCCAACAAAAGTCAGATAAAGTTTCACCACGTCAACTACGACAACTAAGTTTTATTGCAGAGTTTACAACAAGCATATCATACATAGATGGTAATGACAACATAGTGGCTGATAGTTTATCCAGAATTGATGCAATTAATATGCCTACGGTTATAGATCTCGAGATGATTAGCAACCATCAGGAAATAGATGAAGAGCTTAAGCAGTTATTAAAGTCAGATTCAGCACTTCAATTACAAAAACTTTTGTTACAACCCGATATGTCAACCTTTTGTGATGTATCAACAGGAATCATCAGACCATATATTCCATCATCACTTCGAAAGAAGACATTTGACACAGTGCACTCCTTAGCACATGTTGGTACTAAGTCAACGACAAAACAACTATGCAGCAAGTACGTGTGGCCGTCAATCCGAAAAGATGTCGCGAATTGGGTACGATCGTGCCAAAGTTGTCAACAAGCAAAAATAAACAGGCATAATAAACTTACGCCACAAGCTTTCAATCCATTGGATCAGCGATTCGATCATGTACATTTGGACTTAATAATACTTCCCGAATGTGACGGTTACAGATATGCACTAACCATGATGGACAGATTTACACGATGGCCAGAAGTCGTTCCGTTGAAAGATATCACCGCCGATACAGTCGCAGAAAATTTTTACGCACACTGGATATCGCGATTTGGTTCTCCGAAAATCATAACAACTGATCAAGGAACCCAGTTCGAATCAGCTTTATTCAAGGCGCTAGCAAATCGTTTAGGCACGCAAAGAATACGTACATCTCCGTATCACCCAGAATCTAACGGGTTAATTGAGCGATTTCATCGCACTTTAAAAACAGCTCTTATGTCGCGACCTAAGCACGCTTGGATACAATTGTTACCATCAGTTTTACTCGGACTTCGATCATCCTATAAAGAAGATATCAACACTTCAGCAGCTGAAATGTTGTATGGAACGACATTACGTCTACCGGGAGAATTTTTTGTGGAAAATAACACGCTTCCGAACGAACAAAAATCCCTAGCAACATTACGCGAGCACATCCAGCAAGTACGACCAATTCCGACGTCCAATCATTCTAGCAAAGCTGTATTCGTTCACCAAGCATTGGGCGATGCGTCGCATGTATTCGTAAGGGCAGATCATGTAAGGAAACCTTTAGAGCTCCCATACACAGGACCACATAAGGTAATCAAGAAAATCAACGATAGACTTTTTACGGTTGACGTACGCGGTAAGCAGGTTAACATATCAATAAACAGATTGAAACCGGCCTTTTTCGAGCCAGCAGTAATCGAACCAAAGTTTGCAGAAGTCGACGTAGATTGCAGACCTGTAAACAAAGGAAAACTCACGCAAACGAAGAAGCAAGTAACCTTTAATGTGAAAGATCCTTTAGAGTAGCAGGTTACAATCAACAGTCAACAAACCAGACCACCGGTCCAGCTATTAAGGGGGGAGTACTGTGGCGAACTCGCCACACATACTGCAGCGCCCTCTGTGTGTGAATGTACACGCACTCACACCATCTGTGGGCAAAAGGAACATTTTTCAATGAGCAGCTAACTTCAGTAACTGGCGACTGGCTTCCTTCTTCTTCCTATTTTGCACGTTTTAGTAACACAACGTTTTTATCATTTTGTAAACATTTGTTATATTTATTTAAAATAAAGTGTGTGGTGAAA